CCTCACCCTCTTTGACACATGGCGCACCCTTCACCCGGACGGCAGAGATTTCACTTACTATTCTCCCCTACACTCAAAATACTCCCGTATTGATTACATCTTTGTCACGCAGAGGGATTTGCCAAAAGTAACACGATCCATTATCGGTAACATCACCATGTCCGACCACGCACTGGTCCTCACCACTCTTGCCCTACACCCCCCACAACCCCCACACCCCCGCCAGTCCACTTGGCGACTGAACTCCTCCCTTCTGGAGGACCCCGGTGTCATATCTGACATTGAGACGGATCTGCGTACCTACTTTGGGACGAATGTTGGGAGTGTCCTCTCCTTGATGGTGGTGTGGGAGGCTCACAAATGTGTTGTGAGGGGCCGTTTCACTTCGATCGTGGCCAAGCAGAAGAGAGACAGACTGGAGAGTGTGCAGCTTCTGTGCACCCGCGTCTCTAAGCTGTAAGACCAACACAAGGAATCACTGGCGGCGGAGACCTACCTCGCACTTCTGGATGCGAGGAGGGATTATCTGCCCTGCTGGAAACCAAAATCGCAGGGCATTCACTCTAAGAAATGGCATATACTACGCAGGGGGCAATAAGTGTGGGAAACTTCTGGCAAGAGCGACCCGCACTCAGAGCCTCCACTCCCATATCCAGGGCATCCGTACGTCCATGAACAAGGTAGACATTTCGCCTCCAGATATTGCTGCATGCTTCCAGAGATATTATAAGACACTCTACAATCTAGACTTGCCCCAGCCCCGGGACGCGGTGGCGCGAGAAGAGCGGTTAGCGCTTATTCGAGCCTTCCTTCACAAATCACAAATGCCTACTCTAGAGGAGCAAATGGCCTCAGATGGCCTCCCAGCACAATACTACAAAACATTCCGGGAGACCCTTAATCCACATTTCTTTTCTGCTTATAATGGTATTGATAACCGAACTGTCCTCCCACCCCCAACACTAGAAGCACACATAACTGTCATACCCAAGGAAGGGAAGGACCCGCAGCTCTGTTCCAGCTACAGGCCGATATCGCTGCTGAACGTGGACCTGAAGTTGTTCACCAGGATCCTGTTGAATGGCCTTCTCCCATCCATGCCTTCACTGATAGACCTCCACCAGGTAGGGTTTGTCCCTGGTCGTGAAGCTAGAGACAACACTATCAGAGCCATTGACATAATTCACTGGCTCCACAGATGTGGAGAGGGCCTTCAACAGAGTCGACTGG